CTTGCAGGCCCCTGAAACACCTCCTCAGGGGACGTAGGAAGGACAGCTGACACGGAGGAAGCTACCTTGCATCAGAAGACCCTTCAGCATCTCCAACAGGCCAGCTCTCCAAATGAGTTGCACAGCTGATGGGGGAGTCAGGCATTTTGAACCTTATATTTACTGCTGCTATCCAGTTCTCTGTATTAATCCTGCCAGTAAATGGTACTTCCTCCTATTTACTCTGCCACTGCACTGAGTTGCTCCTTTCACCATGCCACGCTCGCAATCAGAAGATGATCATAGACCAGGATCAGGAAGAAGTTCTTGCTCAGGTACCAAATCAAACTATTGATTAGGCCCACCACTCATCAGCTACAACAGAGGCAGTAAGCTAAGCTGAATGCGGTGGGTCACTGGCCGGATCTGGCCTGACAAATTTCCCATTCAGGTGGGACGCTTCCTTCAGAAACCTCACTTCCTTGACTGTTGTTGCCTCCTTCCAACTGAATGACCTCTGCTTTCAACAAACTATGTCAAGTGCACAGAGACAGTCTATACCAAAGAAGCAAGCAGTGTCCAGTGCTCCTCAGGGTCTCCTGCTTGGGCAGAGGAAAAAGAAAGAAAGGCAGCAGCATCCGCAGAGCGGAGACAGTTTGGAGAAAGGAAGGATTAAAACACATGTCTAGATACCAGCTCTGACAGGTGGAAATGTTTGCTGTCAGAGGGAGAGGATGACATATCGAGTCAATGCCAAACACCCCAGACACTGAGGAAGCATGCGCCAGAGACAAGCTGCAAGGATTTCAAGGCAAAAGCAATGGAGGGAGCAGACCAGGGGGATTAGACACTCTGTCTCCACAAACTGCAATCTGCAGGAGTTTGTGATGAGCCACTTAGTTAATTAAGTCTGGGAGCCAGCTGTCTCCAGGGCTGGTTAACATCTTGTTTCCTTCTTTGACCTGTCATTGGGTACGCACTGGTGATGGGCACTTTGGAATGCAGATCAAACAGACAGATTAAATTAAACTGGCCAGACAGACAGTTTAATTTATGTACCAACTCAAGGGGCTATGGGGAGAAAAACAAACCCAAATCCAATTGTAACTTAACTTCTCTGGTACCAATGGGAGGTCAAAGCTGATCTTCATTGGCCTTTAATAAATCAGGAGGAGCTATGCCAAATTCAAAGGCTTCCAAACAGTGACTATGGTAAAAAATTGGTGTAAGGGTGACCACAATGAAGCCCAAAAGGAATAAAGGGATTCAGACTACAGCATAAGACATAAAGAGGCTCTCTGGTACTTCAGAAATTGCTGGCAAGTGTGAGCTGAGTGGTGGTACAATGTCAGTAGCAAGCCCATTCCCTTGTGAACAAAATAAGCAGACTTAACCCATGAAAATGCTGAAACATGAAACTTCGGGAGTGGTTAACCATTCCAGGCAGACCTTCAGAAAAGCAGGGCATATAGAAAGAAAACCACTGATCTTTAACTCTAAGTGTTAATCTAGTTTAATGCATCCTGTGACAAAGATATTCCAGATGGACTAAAGAATGATCAGCCCTATCAGTCACAGGTGTACAGGTATATGAGTGTACCCAGCAGGTGCACACATTATGGCTGTGTATAAGTACCCATCACTGTGTGACGGGGGACTGTGCACTCAGGCTGTTAGATGATGACTTCTCTTCTGAGATGCATTTCTGACTATCACTTTATGAAAGGATGTAAAATTTTCATAGATTCTGTTTTTGATAGTTTACAAAAATCTTTGGGTGCATTCAGCTCATTTTAATGGAAAGCAAAGACTGCTCTGGCTGGAATGAAATCCCTCATCTCTAAAAGATAAAAATAAAGATGGAAGAAACTGGAGGGAGAAGGGGGACAATTTTGTTCATGGCATAATTTCACCTTCTTTTTAGCAAAAAGCTTCAAGTACCCAAAAAAAGAAACGTTCAATTTTCACCAGCCTCTGTTTCTTTCCAGTGCAATAGGTGAATACTATTATGGGAAGAATCACCAAGTAATGTTATTACAAAGGTTCCCTTTTTTGCTCACAAAGTACAAGCTATCTTTGGAGAAGTGCTAATTTATTGTCAGATTGGTGATATAATTTCAGTTTGAGGAAGCTGTCACAAACCGCTGTGTTTGTTCTATTTCATAATCTCTTTAACTGAAGTCAGTTCTTGGGACTAGATATTTTGGGGTGAGGGACTTAGCTAAGTGCTTTCTGTGATAGCCGTCATTCAAGGACTGGTGCAAAGTGTGTAAATAAAACAAAATGTCCAAAGAAACTTCATGGGCTGTGAATGACTTGTATAAGGAACTGATCTGCAGGGACCTAAAACAAAGGGAAAAAATACTTTGGGCATTTTCAGTCCTACCTCTGTATGCTCTCAGTTGCAGAGAGTAAAATATATCCTTTGTTGTAACCATCAGAAGACAGCATCATCCAGAATAAACCACCAATCCATTTTTTTTCTCAAGCCCATAGAAATATCTATCTAGGAAACTTCATAGCTGAAATGTTTTTCTAGTGCATCCCCAAGAAGTGGTAGTGACAGTAGAAACTGGTTAAGACACAGCTCTTGTGTTCTTAGCACTGTATTGTCTAACTGTGCTGAAGAAGACTGAATGAAAAGGTCTACATTACAGCTCTCTACATTATAGTTTCCCCTGTCATAACAACTAATGGAGGTGGTCTGGTGGGGAATCATTCCCACAAAGTTGGCTAGTAAAGACCAGAGAGCCACGGTTAGCTACAGCACATGTACAAGCTTTTGTGGGCTGAAGCTCATTTCATCAGATGCTATATATAGTGTCGACCAGGCCAGGAATTTCTGTTTTTCTGCCTGTGAACAATGTCTCCTCTGCACACTACGTTCTGATGACTGGGTTCCTGTAGTTCTCTGGACTACAGTCAAATATACTGTGGAGTGGAATATTGCTTTTTTGTAGTAGAATCAATACACTGCACATTCATTTCCATTTAATTATTTATAAAGGACAGTATATGTCATTACATTTCATGTTTTTATGTACCTTCCCCCTATTTGCCTATGACAAGCTTAAAGGTATATCAGTGAGTGGAATTCAGATTTCAGTGCCATACCTGGGTTGCAAACATGTTTCTAGCTAACAAACCTTTGCCTTGACTAACAGAATTCCTCCAAGCCAGCCGTTCTGCCCAGCCAACGCACGGGTTTTCCTGGGAATGCTCAAAGAAGTCAAACTCCCTTACACCTTTGCAACACTACAACATTGGGTTGTGGCGAGGTATTGAATGCACAGATGTTAAAGGGATTAGTGCTTCTGCTGGGATAAGCACCTAATTGATCACATCCTTACCCTACAACATTTCAACAGTATGGGAATCCTCCGAGATCTCTTGACATTCTCAAACCATCTTGGTATCAATTCATTAGGAAATAGCTATGTGCAACTAGCTTTCTTATTATTAAATTGGTACAACCACTTTTGATCTTGTCCACAATTAAAGAGGCCTGAAGTGAGGAAAAACTGAAATGAAAATAACTAAACAAAATCCAAACAGGAATTGTCTAGTCTTCAGTATATCCTGTTTAGGTTGCAGCCAGGATGACTACCTAAGCAAGCTCTACCCGATCCAGTGGCTTTACCTTGTGCTCCCAGGTCACAAGGCATTTGTGGGGGAGGAGAGGGTTCCTCCCATATGAGAACATATTTTAACACAAAGGCTTATGCTGCTCTAGATCCAAAGTCAGAGCTTGATTAATGCCTGGAAGCCATCCATCCAGCCAAGCTTGAGCGCTTCTGTCTTATGACACACTAACTGCTTCTTGGATGGCTGCCTGCGGCACGGTTGCTGTTTAGGGTACATGGTCATTGCTTCATTTCTACGTTCACATGAAGAAGTAGGCATGACTAATCCAAAGGAATGTCTCTATTCCTTAGGTTTCTTTTTCCTTTCTCCCTCCACAAGCATTAAAAACAATGAACAAAGTTGTAAATATGGTCCCCGACATGGAGAACAGGTGGTGTTTATGGCTGCTAAGTATCTCTGAAGGGGGAGGACTGGAAACCTACTATAAATTTCTGGGGCATTTCTACTACCGAACATGTTGCCTTTTGTTTTAATAACACTGAGAGGATCACATAATGAAAGGCCTGTAGGGGGAGCTTCGACTCACCTCTGGTCACCAGTTTTCTTTTTCCATTAGTCTTGGGAGGACGTTAGTTTGAAGCATACATATGCAAGTGAGAACAGCACTGTTGCAGAGCGACATTCCCATCACCTAAGACACCTGATTTTATGTGCTCTCTGCTTTGACAGACTCAGGTCAAATTCTCTTCGCTGGTGCAACTCCATTTTTGTCAACCCCACTGAGTGCAGTGGAGCCATAACCATCAAAATCAGAGCAGAATTTGGCACTTTAAGAAAAGAAAATGACTCTCCAAGCTAATAAGTGAGATGAAGGTTTCAATAAATGGGCCAAGGAGACCCAAGTCTTCTCACTCAGGGCTTACAAGATCCGATCCTATCAGGAACAGAACACCACCAATGAGAGTTGTAGGTGCCTTGCCTCTTGTGGGACAAAATACCTAAAATTTTCTGACAAACTTTCATACGAGTTTGAAGTCCTCAGTCCCTTCTCTGCAGCTCTGAGGCACAGTGGTATCCTGGAAGGTACCTCAGTGAGTCTTCCTAAGTCTCCCCACCCATATCCTCAGTGGTTGGGAGAGGATGCATGTGACCTCTAAAAAGAGACAGAACATCTTTCAAGGGAGTTCCCATTCTCTGGTACTGGACCACATGAGAAGGGGAGTATGAAGTCCCAGAAGAGCCTACTGATCTACACTGCAGTTCAAGACATCAGTGCCTGCCACAGTGGGTTTCTGAAGGAGTTAGTTGTGTCCGCTTCTCCAAAAAGTCACAATACAGTCCCACCCCAAACACTGACTCTCAGCCTGTAGTTGGGCTGGTGCTGTGATCACCGAACCATGCAAACCTATATCTCACCTGGGACCTTCTAAGTAATATTACTCTGACCTTCGTGTCTGGAAGTCTCTGATCTCCTCCTCCAGATCCAGCAGGGCTGCAGCCTGAGCCATTAGCTTCTTGCTGCAGGGCCAGGATTTGAGTTGCAGAATGAGGAGTCCTAGGCAGAACTTGGCGCCCATCTCCTCCAGCTCTCGAGTTCCAATCTGCAGGCCCTGCCGGTGAAAAGCAAAAAGTGAGAGTCAAGACTGGCATCAGCAATAAGGCTGATACAACTCTCTGCGGGGGCCCTCCAGGTAGAAAAGTTCAAAGGCAGGGCAATGAAAAGAAACAGACCCGACCCCAACGCTTAATATGCAGACTTTGCTCTTACTGCAGTTGGACCTGTTCCTCATTAGAGTGATTTACAAACACGACCTCATAGCTATCTGAAAAATAGTCTCTATTTTACACTTGGGGAAACTAAGGGTGTGTAGACAAAATGGGGGCCCTAAATTGAAGCAGTGGGTTTTTAAAAACACTGTTTCAATTTACGGCCCTTTAAACCCCCATGTCGTGCACACACCCAAACTACCTGGCCTCTCTGGCAGCAGGGGGGGAAGGCGAGCTGCCAGCGGGCTAAGCGGTCCCTGGGCTGTGAGGGGGGCTTGGTGCTTCCCTCTATGGCAGCAGCAGGCCCCC